TGTAACAAGAAATGTTCACTTTAACCTAAATAGGTAAAGTGACAAATCCAATTTAAAAACAACTTCATAAATGAATACAATTCTTTCACCAATGATCCGCTAAGGATTCAAAAGGAAACACTGCCAATTTGCTAAAGCTGTGACAATAGAAATGTGTACAATAAATACTTGAAAACAACTTACCTTTATGTCCATTGTGTATATATGCAGGTTTCTGAAATGCAAAAAAAACATACGGTAAAAATGATTGAATTTATGTTTGCACCTAAAAAGTAGTACAGGGTTTTTCATGGTTTAACACAGGGGTAGGTAACCTTGGCACTCCAGCTGTGCTGAGACTTCAAATGCCATTGTGCCCTAGTCTCTTGGAGTCATGCCTGCGGTTGTTATGCCTTATGACTTGTAGCTCAACAACAGCTGGAGTGCTGAGGTTGCCTACCCTGGTTTAACACAATAAAGCGTTACACAAATATGAAATCTTCATTTTCAGCCATATTGATATGCAAAAGACTTAATGAGCATATTTTCCAATATATGCATTCTAACGGATATCATACATATAAATGATCGCAAAGTACAGCATGGATCTGAAAATGTATACTGTGTGTCCTAAGTACTGGCTCCTCTATGTAGCAGAATCACTTACAAATGAGGTTGATACTGAGTTCCTAGGGAGCGTTGGAGGTACAGCAAACGAAGGGATGTAATGACTGCCATTTTCAGTATGACCTAAAAAATAAAAATTTATTTAACTTAAATATCTACACACACATGCAATGTGTACATCTGGGTAAAATAAAATAAAAAAAGAAGACATTACATCCTAAAATCCTATTTTCCGCTGGCAATGATGCTGCTGCCCTGTAATCCCAAGCAGTGCTGTCAGTTCTGCACAGTTCTCTTCTACAGGACTACAGAATCCCTCCCCCTCCAAGGGAGACCTTGAATCACTGACCAGCAACAAGCAAGCAGCAAGTGAAGTCATAGGAAAATCAGAACTCTGGATCTGCATTCTTGTTTTAGGTCTCTGTCTCAGAAAGTACTGAAGCTATTGGATCTGCAGAACAGTCAGGCATCTAGCATTTCGGGAAGAGTGGCCAGATATGTCAGGCTCCATATTCTTACAGTACAGCTTTCCTTTAAAGTAGAACTCCAGGCAGAATGTTTCTAATCCCTTGCAGTGCTCCCTCTGCACTGCAAGGGTCAGCTGCTCATTTTTGGGGACGGAAAAAAGAAAGGAATACTCACTTGAACCACACAGTCGGCTGGCTGTTAGACTGGTCACTTCAGCCTTTCCCCCCCTCAGCTTCAGCGGTCTAAGTTCCTGTGAGTCATCACATCCAATACACTGTATAGGACCTGAAGACGCCAAGGGACATTCCATCGCTGGAGCAGAGAAGGAGACAGACTGAAGGGACAGGTCTAACAGCCAGCCGCTAGTTTCAAGTGAGTATAGCTTTTTTTTATTTTCATCCCCGAAAACGAGCACTTAACCCTTGCAGTGTGGGGGTAGCCTAAACTGAAAGGGTTAGGAATCATTTTGTCTGGAGTTCTCCTATAAAAAGCAAAAAAACTAAGTGCATAGTGCAGTAATCTATACAAACCATATAACATTCCACCTTTTAGGTACACCACTATCAAAAACTAAACAGGTTACAATGTATTACTGCACTGTCAATACCCTCTTCTCCATGCTGCCACATTAAATAAGCTCACTTTAAGACAGTTGTGTACAGCTGCCTAATACCCAGTTGGGAGGTTATATGCTCACTTCCTGTCCTGCTCACAATTCTCTAAGTGGACCAGGAAGTGAGAGCAAATCTCCAACAAGGATATAGGCAGCAAATAAGAAAACCGTCTCCCAGTTTGCTAAAAGTAATCTTTTACTGCTGTTTTGTCCCTGTGAAAGAGATTTGCCCTTATTTCCTGCCCTAGTGACAATGTTGTCACTGGGACAGGAAGTGATGAGAAATTACAGGAACAAAGACAGCAACGACAATCTGATGGGAATTTTCACACTTTCCAACCCCATAAAAGGACAACCTTTAAGCAAAGTGTCTTACCTTTTTGTTTGAACTTGTGAATTTTGCTCTTCAGGTCTATCCGGTGAATTGTTTTCAAACTCTGCTCTAACAAGTCCAGGTTTTCTGGTGATATTAGGTTATTTTTTTCCAGATCAGTTACAAGACTCAGAAATGTCTGTGGGAATAAAAACATAATCCGGTGAGTATATTGCTGGGACCATAAAATGTATTTCCTGATGTGTCATATATTGATTTTTAGGTGCACTAGTTATGCAGCAGGGTGCCTCTTTACTCACTTTCCCCAGTGGCAGGAATGGGTCTCTTCAACTCCTTTTCCCACAATCCTATGGGCTCCCAACATTCACTGGACTCCTATCATCCCCTGTGCTCCTGGACAAAGTTACATCGTTTTTGAGGTTGAAAAAAGACACAAGTCCATCAAGTTCAACCTTTGTGTGTGTGTTTGTTGTGAGTGCGTGCGTGCGTATAAGAGTCCCTGTGTGGTCTACTATTTAAGTGTACCTGTACCCCTGTATGTTACGGTCTCTGAGGTAGGTATCCAATTGATTTTTGAATGATTCAATACTTTCAAAAATCAATTAGATACATGTGCGGAGGAGATATAAGTTCCAGCTCCTCCTGTCCTCTAGGGCTCAGAGAGACCCTGCCTTATAGGACAAAGTGACTGGGCATGCGAGTGGTCACCAGGTGCTGGGACCTGCCCTGTTCAGTCTGGTGTGTGGGCCACCAGCGGTTAGCACAAAAGTCCCATCACTGGAGAGGATATTGTGGCAGCCAAGCCTGGGATACTTCACACACAGTGGGGTGGCCTTTCCTTCAGCCACCAAAACCTCCTGACCGAAGGCATCTGCAGCAGTGTCGGTGTGAAGCCTGTTTGGGCCGTCACCTACCTCAGCTATCATTCTGCCTTCCTAGAGCATGCAAGTATTCTCTTTCTGTAACCTTCTAGAACTGATATAGTGTGCTGTGACATTCATTTGCTTGTTATATCTTTTTTTAATGTATTGATTTTGCTTAAATGCTTATTCATTGCTCGTTTATATTCCCCTGTGCAACCTGTGTTTAACTCCTGTGTGTTCAGTAAATTCCAAATTGCACATATTGTACAATACCACTTGTCTGATCATTTGGCTGATACCATTACACAACAGTTACTATATCGAGCACCAAAAGCTGAGCACAGGAAAATATTTTCCAATATGTGGTAATGTCAAGGTACAGGATTCCACTAATGTATACAAAATATGGTTTGCATTGTAGCTAATAAGATGCACTGTCCACATTACACAGCATTGGCCAGCATACAAGTGCCCTGATAAGGGGAAACAGTCAATCAAGTAGGAGTTATGTTGTTAAAGCCAACAGCCGCTGTACTCCATATTGATTTCAGTGTGACACAACAAAGTGAGGGCTTTTCTGGGGGCTTGTGTGTACTGTGCCTTTTTGCCAATATACAATTTTCTCCCAGACATCACGGAGTGCTCAGCTAGCAATAGGATTACAAACCGACCCACATGTACATGGAACTAGTGATTTTTTTTATTTTGGCTAAAGAAAGCTAATCAGCTGTGGACTGGAAAGGGTCTTTAAATCTATTAGTGACAACACAGGTTGTGAGATATGTGTACTGTATATTCACATCAATTTTAAATCATCTATGAATCCTTTAATCCAGCTGGATATTCCAGTGAATATGATGGCTATAGATTAGCACTGTAGTTGGTATACATGCCTTTTTGACGTGTCCCGCATTCCTTAGTTGATTTTTTAATAAAAACACAAGTGATTGCAAATCTTCTTCCTCCAAATGACCATTGATGTCTAACAACAGATAACTGCAAAGGTAAGAAAAAATAAAAATAAATCACACATGGATCAGACTTGTTTTTCCAGCACAGCCTACAGATACTATAATGGATTTAGAGCTGGAGAATTTGGAAGCCGAGCCTTTTGGTAGCTGACCCAGTCGTCTAGCCATGACAATTTGGCCCTTGTCAAAGTCGCAATTTGGCCCTTGTCGGAAAAAAAATAAAGCACTCTGATGCGTTCTAACAACGCTCCTTAGTACATGTGCATGGTGTACACCAGAACATGGTGCACACT